TGACTAATCAAAGGCAAAATTTTCAAACAAAAACGTCGCAGCGGTCAAGCTGCGTTTTGAAATGTATTGCACTTCTTATAGCACAACGTAACTAATTTGACCTAAGTGATTTCCATCATGATCAAAACGGGTATCGGGGAGGAGCAGATCAGTACTGTGATGCAGACTTAGGATCGCCAGCAACGTTGGCCAGATGTCAACGACCGTGTAGGTGGGGTTTAGGGGGCCGGATTAGGTGTGAAATCTGCTAGTGGGAAGGTTGCGCAAAGCATCGCCGGATTGCCATTGCTTACCAGATCAGACCGATCGTCTTGGGGTGAACGAGGGGCAAAATGATACTCCCGCCAAAACTGTTGCCCTTCTTGCTTTTCTAATATTGTTTTTTAAACCCCTGTTTTGGCTGCTGTTAATTTAATTTTCACATGTAATATGTCTCGCTCACTCTCTCACTCTTTCTCTCCCTCTAACCCACTAACTCAATCTCTCTTTCTTTCATTTCGCTTCTCTCTCTAGCTCGCTCGCTATCTTCCTCTCTCACTCACTCTCTCTATATCTCTAACACACTGACTCAATATCTGACTTTTCTCGTCTCTTCTCTATTTCTAACCCACTAACTCAATCCCTCTCCATCTCTCTCTGTCTCTCTCTCTCTACCTCGCACTCTATCTCTCTTTCTCTTTCTCTCGCTCTCTCTCTCTCGCTCTCTTTCCCACTGTCTCTCTCTCCTCTCTTTCTCTCTCTATCCATTTGTCTTTTCAATCCTTGCGCCTATTTGTCTCCGTATCTTTCGGCTCGTTTCCGCCATCGAACCGGGTCTCGCCCCTTTTCATTGGACCGCCCGGACAAAGCGTCTCTCCGCCCCAACCCCCGATATACCGTAGCCCTTGCCTTCCCATCTCTCAAGTGCAAAACCTCGATCTTATGGTGGCGCAGCCGAAATTTGGAATGAAGGATTCGAGAAATGTTCAATCGGATCTTATTTGGCAAAAAGCTTTATCGGACGAAACTTGAAAATGTTGGCCATCTCTAGAATCAGACAAATTCCGTTGTTTCAAGGTTTCGCTTTGGGGCGACAGCCGTATTCTACGTTTCTCAAGATCTACGATGCTATACAATAATACAGTAGTATTATAAATATACAGTAGTAATGTCGAAAGTTGGTATTCTATTTAATTCCTGAAGAACCTATATTTAGCCAGCTGGGTTTGACAGCCATTACACATTTCCGTGAAATTCCCAGATTTGATTAGTCACCGCAACTGCACCCTGTTATCGAAATGTGTGTCTGGGGTGGGCGTTGATTTTCCTTAGAGGGTCCACAGGCCAAATCGATACATCCCGCGCTCCTCTTCGCGCCGCCAGCTTAAGGGCTCGCGCTCGATCAGACCCCCTTACCACTGTTTTTTGAGCCATCCCACCTACCCCCACCATCATAAATTGATTCGTAGAGACTCTGCTTTGGCTCTGAATTATTTAGCCAGCTCGTTGGTTGTTGATTTATCTTTACTGAGTGCAAAAACAACCCCTCGGGCGTTCGGAGGATTCGCTGATTTCTACGATTCTACGAATTATAGGTAGTCAAAAGCTGTTTGAGGCAAAGAGCTCTTTTTTGTCAGACTTTCGAAAACCTATCAATAACGCACAAAAAAATTCATGAGAATTGATCGAAGCCGAAATTCTGTCTGTACGACGAAATTTGCTAGCATTTAGGTCCAGTGCTGGATCGTCCCATGTTTTTCATCCTCTCTTGCATTCTCTTTCCCGCTCGCCCATTTTCCCTATTTTAGGTTCTCTTTCTCTCGCTCTCTCTCCCTACCCTCAGTCGCACTCCCTCTCTCTCACCCTCACTCGCTCTCTCTTTTGCTCTCCCCCCTCTCTTTCTCTCTCACCCTCGCGCTCGCTCTCTCTGTCTCTCTCACTCTCTCACTCTCTCTGGCTCTCGCTGTCTCTCACGCTCTCACGTTCTCTCTCGCTCTCTCACTGCGCCCAATAAAACCCCATCCTTTTTTATTTGATTGGCCGCCCGACAAATGCTCTCTCCGCCCCGGTTTCCCATATACCGTAGCCCTAATCCGTTGGACAGAAAAGCGCAAAGCAGCAATTTTCCAGCCTCTATCCCTGTTTTTGTTAGGAATTGGGTGGTATTAGAGTTAAGTAAGCCATTCTGAGCAGCAGAGGGCGGGTTCAATCGAAAATTTCTAACTTCTTAGCGCTTTCGAATCGCTTAGATCGAAAGTATGAAAATATTCATCACTTGTACCGAGAGATTCTACGAATCCTTTTAATTTTCGCTTTACTCTCGCGCTTTCTCTCGCTCTCTCACATTCTCCCTCTCTCTGTCCTTTTCTCTCGCTTTCTGCCGCTCATTTGAATCACTACAATTGCACTTTGACGCTCGCTGGAAATTTCCTCAACCGATTAGTCACCCCAACAACACCCTGCCTTCGAAATGTGTGTCTGGGATGGGGCGATTTTCCCACGGTGGTGGGTCCACAGTGCCAAATCAATAGATGTCGCGCCGCTCATCGCGCCGCCGCTTCCGAGCTAGTGCTCAGTCAGACTACAGCTTTTTCCCAAATAATCTTGTGCTTGCTTGTTATGTAAACTTTTTTTGTTGATTTCCTATTACAAGTAAGTTTTCATTTTCTATTCTCTCTCACTCTCGTTCTTTTTCGCTCTCTCTCTCTCTCTCTCTCTCTCTCTCTCTCTCGCTCTCTCTCTCTTTCCCACTGTCTCTCTCACTCTCCTCTCTTTCTCTCTCTATCCATTTGTCTTTTCAATCCTTGCGCCTATTGTCTCCATATTTTTCGGCTCTCTCACTCTATCTCTCTTTCTGTTTCTCTCGCTCTCTCTCTCTCTCTGTCTCTCTCTCGCTTTCGCTTTTCCCCAGCCTTTTGTCGTCTTAACTGTTGCTCCTTTGCTCTTTAACTGGTTCTCTTTTTTAGCCCTTTCTTTTTGCCTTCTAGCTGTCTCGCTCTCCCCTCTCTCTCTCTCACACAAATATGCTAAATGTGGCTATATTCGAACCCGACGCAATGCTGAATCGGTGTTTCAATTTTCCGATTTCAGGTCCTGCCTCGACTTGGATGATTTTTCCAAGACTATGATTGCCTGCGTATCAGGCAGCTATACCGAAGTCGAGGCATTCGACTTCCGACGCAATAAATTTAAACGATTTAAGAATGGGGAAAAACTATAAGGAAATATAAAGGTTTGTTCATTCACATAAAAGTTAAACTCGCGCCCACTGACCGAAACAAAACTTTTTTCGGCTACCAAGGTGCTGGGTATGTAAATGGTCGCGGAGTCGCCGTTTCGGCGACGGAATCGACAGATGGTTCAGCAACTGGGTGCCGCTGTTTAATCCATGTAAGATATTTCAATTGGCCCTGTTCGATTTTTGACAATGTTTACTGCCCCACCCCCCGGCCCAGCTCAATCATCCCGAAATTTTGATATTTGCTTTACTACTAATTTTAGACAGGGCTGATGTAATAACAAAAAAATTAGGACATACAAGGAAACCCTTGGAAAAGACATGCAAAAGCTAGTTACAAAAATTTTCGACTTCTTATTGGGATTTAAAGTTTTTATTAGATCAGGCCTAAAGAATATATTGAGGATTTTTATTTCAGCCGATAATAATGTAACATATGATTGAATGAAACGATCACTTCAGCTGACTCTCCGTGCTTTTAGCTACGTCTGGTCGTCGCACATGAGCTTTGAGGAGTGCACCAGCGTCCGGTTCTACCTTGAAGACGCCTACAACTCGTCGGTGGCGGTGAGGGGTAAGTATATTCATATGTGCTATGTCCAGTTTTGGCTCGGGCTAATTTTCGTGCTTGGCATGCAAGGCGTGCTTGGGGGGGTTTGGGGTTCACATTGCATAAAAATCATGATGAAGGGTTCGATCTTTAGGTGATAAGCCGCTGCCTGGAAGGCAATTTGAGGAGCTTGTGCACCGGGAAATTTCCGTCGGTCGTATTCTGCGACTTCGAGGTATGTTCTTTATTGCTTAAAGGCCGTTAAACGGCATGTGTCGATCCCCCCCCCCCCGCCCATGGGAGGGAGGATCAACAAATTTGCAAATAGCCCGGGGGAAGGGGGCGCCCAGGGGGCAGCCTGGACGTCACGCGGGCCGGGCCAGGCCGGGCCGTGAACTCCAAAAAGCTGTCCCGCTCGGATCCTTTTGGCGCTATCCAAACCTCCGGTTTTTACGGGGAAATTGAGCGCCTATCTGGATATTTTTCGTGCCTAAATAGGCTGTTTGTGCTTGTTATACCAGCTTACAGGGCTTTTTCGCTTTTCTGGCTTCATTCAGTACCAAGGAATCGACCACGGTTCGGCCCCGCCCTGCGCCAGCTTTTGGTGTTTGTGACTTTTGGTGTCTAACCGATCTTATGATTGATTTTTTTTAATAACAATAGAGTAAGTGTTTCTAAACTGTTTTGACAATGCCTAAACGTAAAAAGATGACAAATGATGTTACAAAAATTAGAAAACCCTCGATTTTTAGGCCTAAAATCGGTCGTAATGGTAACTTTAAAATTCACTTGACGGGAAGGGCTGCAAAAATTGTTAACACCTGTTCACATCAACGTGTATTTCCTATCTGCATTGACGTTACAAAAGACGTTAGCAGAAAATTTTTAGCTGACCCTGTTTTTGACCTAAAAAGTGGCGGGTCAGAGCCAGAAAAAAATCGCGTCGGGCCGGGAAAAATCGGGGTTCTGGGCCGGCCCGCGTCCAGGCCCGCCCAGGGGAGAGTAGCAGAGACACCCCCCTTCCCCCCGTAACCGATTGACTTATGCCGACCTTATTTCTATAGCATAAGCGGCGAAAAACTTACATATAATTGGAAGCGTCAGCCCAGGCCTTATATGCCCCCATAATTGATGTTTTCGGAGTCTATAAAGCAACCTATCAGGCTCTTAAGCAAGGCATTGCATAAGATGTCCAATCGGGTAACGAAATCAATGATGACTTCCCAGATCAAGATGATGGACTCCGTCTTCGGTCCGACCGTCCAGTGCGTGCTTATCCAAATGCCGGTGACCGAACGCCTCTTCAGCCTCTTGCTGTAGGTTTACACAAAAAAGGCTTGTCGTTTTCACTATAGGGAGTTTTTTCAAGACCGGCTACTAACGGGAAGGGCTCAAAGTCTTCTTATCATAACACCAGTGGAAAAAGACCGCTCCGGCCGGGCCGGCCCGCGGCCAGTTGCCATGTCTGCCAAAAACAACATCTAGCATGAAAATCTAGTTTAAGAAATGGGGACTTGTCTCTGTCCCTATCCGTTCTCCTTACTATTTTGCCCCCTCTAACTGGCCTCGCTCTCTCACAGTGCCCCTTGGGAAATTTGTCGCCGTTAATTATTTTGGACTAATTTTTAGTTCTTTTACTATTTTAAAAAAATACATTTTTCACTATAAATATTAATTGGTATTCTTTGTTTTAAAAGAAAGGGAGGTATCTGAAGTCATTGGTAAGGGGGCTTCGTAGTTTTTAAAGAGTGTTTGGGCCGGATGAGGTATCTAAAGCTATCAATAACGCTTTGTAGGGAGGCTTGTCGCGAAGCGGCGGTAGTCCGCCGTTAAGATAAGACTAGAAAAATCGGTTTTTAGGGTTGCTTACCTCGCATCCGCCTTGGTCGGCCGCCTTGAATTGCTACTCACCGCAGCTAAGCTGCTGGCTCCCGGGATTAGGCGCCGCTACGCAGAACGGTGGGTGATTAGTGCATTAAAACCCGGCTCGTGGGCTCTACCTTGCCGGGCATTTAAATGTTTTGTTTATCTCTTTTGCTAGATTTTGATAACCGCAAATTCCTAACAAAAGCATTGAAAGCGAAAAACCTGGAATTCATGATAATTTTTTATCAATCATCAAAAAACTGCGCGAATTTTTATAACCATACTGACCGCGTATATAAATCACGTTTATTTGGGGTGCCTACACTAATCTATGCCCCGCCCCCCCCCCCCCCCCGCTAACAGGCCGGTACCAAGCATCGTTAAGCGAACTTTGGCAACTCTGGCACTAGAATTCGCATGAATCTTTTTGGGCAAAACGCCGACATTCACGACGTCGAGACATCTCATTCTGCCATCAAGAACTTTGATGGTGCACAAATCAAGAACAAAAAAAATAAATTTGAATGTGTCGTTGGTACTGGCTCTCGGATCACGGAAGTGGTACCTTGTGACATTCTGATGGTATTTCAGACTCGTCGACTGGTCATATCACCGGCAACTCGTGTGGAAGCGTGAAGAATCTGGGATTTCGGACCTTGAAAAAGGCGCTCGCTGGCAACATCCAATTCCTCCAGATACTGCTCAGGTCAGCGGCTTTTACTTATTTAGTGGTTTGGTATCGAGGTGCGCGCATAGAAATAGAAATGATGTGCTGTTTCTGCCTTAGCATTATATACAGAACTGAACTGGCCGCGGCGGTGGCGAATTAGAAGTTGGAATGCGCATGGAAAAACAGCTCATGTGAAGCAGTTTCTAAAAGGATAACGGCGGCATAAGGCAATTGTTATGCGGGGATCGGGTATCACTGAGCGGCCTGGCTGGGCGCCCTCGCTGCCTAGCTGCTTATTTGCCAGAAAGCGGAAATTAGCGGGGTTCAAGCTAGGCCGTCCCTATCTCCTTAACAACCATCCCAAAACTGCAATCAGCTTTTATTTATTTTATTGAGCAAGATATTGACCTTTTTTTCTTTGCGCGACCGGCCGGAAAAAGATCTATCGAAAGCTCTAGGAAAGACGGGTCCTGCACGGTTCCCCGATTTTCGCATTTCCAAAATTTTTCTAAGGTTGACTGATATCTTTCCGAAATGGGCGGATTTTCGGACGCTCTTCCGATCAAAGGGTTTTAACAGGAATCACACTTGAGTGGTTTTTACGCCTTTCCTGGCAGCTTTTTCAAAGTCGGTTGAGAAAAGCGAGCGCCTAAGCTGGTTAAATTGGGTGCGTAAAATATCCAGTTACGGGATCAAAAAAAAATTTTTTTGGGTAACTCCCCCTAACCAGCTTTGACGCTCGATTTTAGATTACTACTTCATCATCCATAAACTGGAAGAGGAATATGACCGCGACATCGCCTCCGATCTGCATTTTCGTCGCGCTCAGATGAAGACGTAAACGACGGGTGACAGGCTATCGGACCACAAAAATCTGTTCAAATCATATAATTTTCTATGCTCCATCAACTGGTCGTAAATAGATTCAACTCCTCCGCCCCCTTCAACTTGCAAATCATGCGCGGCTAGCAACAGACTGCACTTCCCGTTGTTATTTGTAATGATGAAATAGTTTGACATGAGTATTTCCAAACCCGTCATCTGGCTTACAATTGTGACTGTCGATTGGAAAAAACGGTGGCCTTTCCATGGTTTCATCTCGATTTGCAACCCTATATTTTACCATTTCCGTGAATTGTCATGATCTTAGCGCATAATTTGGTCACTTATTGACAATAAAGCCCGGAAAAACATATATAAAACATGGTGTATGTGTGTGCGTTTGCATGCAACTGCCGTAAGGATGTTCCGCACCTACAGCCCCAGGCAAGCCTTTTTTGGAAGAATTCGTAGAATCTCTCGGTACAAGTGATTCAATATTTTCATTCGTTAGCAATTCGAAAGCGCTAAGAAGTAAGAAATTTTCGATTTAACCGGCCCTCTGCTGCTCAGAATGGCTTACTTAACTCTAATACCACCCAATTCCTAACAAGAGCCGAGAAAGAGGCTGGAAAATGCCTGCTTTGCGATTTTCTGTCCAACGGAGTAGGGTTACGGTATATGGGAAACCGGGGCGGAGAGAGCCTTTGTCGGGCGGCCAGTCAAATAAAAAGGATGGGGTTTTATTGGGCGCGGTGAGAGAGAGGGAGGGAGAGAAGAGAGTGAGAGAGAGCGAGAGAGAGCGAGTGAGGGTGAGAGAGAGGGAGTGCGAGTGAGGGTGGGGAGAGAGGGAGAGAGAGAGAAAGCGAATGAGAGCGAGCGAGAGAGAGAGAGAGAGAGAGAGAGAGAGAGAGAGAGAGAGAGAGAGAGAGAGAGAGAGAGAGAGAGAGAGAGAGGGAGGGAGAGAGAGCGAGAGAGCGAAAGAAGGAGGGAGAGAGAAAGAGAGTGAGAGCGAGCGAGAGAGAGAGATAGAAAGAGAAACAAAAATCGGGAAACTGGGCTAGCGGGAAAGAGAATGCAAGCGAGGATGAAAAACATGGCACGATCCAGTACTGGACCAAATGCTAACAAGTTTCTTCGTTCAGTCATAATTTCGGATTCGATCAATTCTCATGAAATTTTTGTGCGTTATTGATAGGTTTTCGAAAGTGTGACAAAAAGGAGCTCTTCGCCTCAAACAGCTTTTGACTATCTAAAATTCGTAGAATCGTAGAAACCAGCGAATACCCCAGAATGGGGCGGGGGATGTATTGATTGGTTTTGTGGACCCTGTGGTCGATCGTCCTCGCCCATACCCTCATTTTCAAGGAAATTAGACGGGGCCAGGGTTGAAAAGTCGCGAAGGGGATTTTCAACCTTGGTATTTATTAGTTATCTGATAGAAATTTTTTCTGATTCGAATGTTATATTTCATTGGTGCCAGGTGGCCTCTTTAGATACGCTTCAGGAGTGTATGAAATGATCAAGTTAACATAGAGAAAAGGAAGCCCATGCCTCTATCGTCAATTTTTCAAAATTTCCGAATTTCCAAAGATTTGAGTTGAACAGTTCCTTTGATAGAGGGAAAATTCTGAACAATATGGCGAGGTTTGTACGCTCTATTTTTTTCGCCACCATGTTCAACGACATCTCGCATTCTGATTAGCTTTTGATGGAATAAAGAATAAACTTTGATGGAATCAGTTATTAGGTGTAATCAGCACATTTTGCGACATTGCAATGCGCAGCGCGACGGAAGATCGAAGCTCGTATTTGCAGATGACGTCGGTTTTTGTCGAGATCGAAGCCGATTTTAATTTACAAATTTAACTGTTGAAACTTTTATAACCATCCCACCCAACGTAATTTAAACCATTAAAATTCGATCCTGCTCTTTCAGATGGCGTCATAAACAATGGGTCGAAAAACGGTGCCAAGCCTTGTTCGGGTCGCACGCAAGCGGCCTTTTCAAGGCGCAAGGACACGAAAAAGGTCCACGCCAGTCGCCGTTGATTGCTGGCAGATAGCCAGTTGCGATCGCAACGCGAGCGCGCCTCATGTTTTTTTTGTCCCGGTTTAGGCAGGACCTTGAAAATTCCGGCGTCATTTCTGGGATCCTCACACGATTGTAATAATTTTAGTTTTTTCATTGAAAATTAACTCGAGAGCCACCAAGATAGAAGAATTGAGCGCCTAACGGAGCATTACGAGATATCAGGTTGGAAAGAAAGTAATGGCACAAAATCTTTAAACTGCTGTAAAAACCCGCAGGAACGTCTGATTTGAAAGTTTGATATATGGTTTGGTAGATCTTGGGATGCTCTATCACGAGATGACCCTCAAAACACCCAAAAACTAATGTACGCGAAAATCAGAACCTCAGAAGTTTCACGCAAAATTAGGTGAAAGCTTTTAAGCGAGATATCTCTGCATTCAGGCATTTGCATACGATACTTTCAACACCAATCGATAGCCCTCGAGGAGTAGATATCGATAGATGTTGAGATCATCAAAAACGGACACTGGATGGCTGAGATATGGGCCTTCCAAAATCAATGCATTTTCTGGATTTTGGTTCGGGAGCTGAAGCAAACGCAGCAGTTTTTGGCTCGCGCAGGCCAAAATGTATGGGATTTCGAGAAAAGTTCTAACAGGTGGACCAAAATTCTAGGGCCCATATCTCGGCCATCCAGTGTCCGCTTTTGATGATCTCAACATCTATTGATATCTACTCCTCGAGGGCTATCGATTGGTGTTAAAGGTATCGTATGCAAATTCTTGTATGCAGAGATATCTCGCTTAAAAGCTTTCACCTAATTTTGCTTGAAACTTCTGAGGTTCTGATTTTCGCGTACATTAGTTTTTGGGTTATTGAGGGTCATCTCGTGATAGAGCATCCCAAGATCTACCAAACCATATCTCAAACTTTCAAATCGGACGTTCCTGCGGGTTTTCACAGCGGTTTAAAGATTTTGTGCCATTACTTTCTTTCCAACCTGATATAATCCCCACGGTCCCAAACAGTCGATTTGACTCACACAAATTTCGTCTTTTCTGAAGCATTCTCGTTTTTATTTCGACAAGTAACTTCGATACCCCAAAGGTCGACTTTTAATTTCACCGCGCCGTTAAAAAAGAATGTTTGTGTGTCCGGCGCATCCGTCATTAGTAGCAGAATGGGTTGTGCACGCGTGCCGATGTATCGGGAAAACGCCAAAAGCCCGACATCCAAAAACCCGACAAACTTAAGCCCGACATTCAAACCCACTTTGTTACGAAGTAATTAGCATAACCGGAAGTACATTAGCGTATTTTGAGAGACACCCTGGCACTTTCTTCATTTTTTTCCGCCGAAATTCACCCGGATTTATGGTAATTTATTACATTATACTGTTCAGTGCTTCCGGTTTTTTGGGAGGGCGATTGTTTTGGAGAGGCGGGGCGGGGGCGGGCAATTTTTCCTATTAGCACGTGCCAGTTTGCTTGCCAACCATTTGCTATTTTTACAGTTTGTACACCGTTTTACGTCGCTTATGGATTGCTAGCGGGTGCCAAGGATTTTATAAAAACATGATAAACTGTGTTGAAAAATTTTCTTTTTTTTTTGGTGAGAATGGATGAGAAACTATCCACTCGTCGCTAAAATGAATAAAACATGGTAGGAAAAAGAAAAGCAACTTTTTAAATGGGGACAAAATGCTAGTTTTCGACATTTTCGCCATTTTTCGATAGTTTCAAGACGCAGTTCTGTAAGCGATCGAGATAAGCAAAGTTTTGATTTGTTCTCATCACCACAAAACGCCTCATCGTCAAAGTCGATCTTTCAGGCAAAGCGTTCATCACCGACTCAATTATTGACGCGTTCTTTTCGCGACTGAAACAGACCTGTACGCATCCGCTGCAGACAATCGAAGCAAGTGCCGGGACCCACTTCGATGATCTGTCACGCGCCAAGTAAGTGTTTGAGCGGCTAAGATTTGGATAATTTTCCTTCTAGGATCGGCTGATATGACCATAAATAATTTTTTCAGCCAACTCCCAACAATCAACCCCCCTGGAACGCTGCTCTGGCCGGTGGTGAAAAGCGCGCACTGGTACTTGCTACACCTCGACTTCGACACGCGAGAAGCACGCCTTCTCGATTCGTTCTTCAAGCCAGAAAAGTTTTCCGGCCTGCAAAAGATTCTCGAGGAGGCGTTGAAGCGGGTTAATATTTTGACCACTCGTCGCGACTGGGTCACATTTATACGAACGGTCGGTTTCCTTCTTGATAGGCTACTTTTTTCCCGGGCCTTTGCAACGTTTGCAATTTGCGGGTTACATGAACATTAATTTCAACCGCACTTCATCTTTAAAGTCTTCTATGACCGCCTATAATTTTACATTCAGGCAGGAGAACAAGAGAAGGGCATCAACGACTGCGACGCTTTTGTATGCGCGTTCGCCACGGCCATAGCAGAGCGGAAGCCGGTGACGGCGACTCAAGCGCAGATGCGAGAATGGCGAGGCCGCCTCTTTGGGGCAATGTTCGGCCTCGACGATGCCCCCCAGACAGCCAGCCAGACAGCCCATACTACCAGACGCCAAACGTGCACCCATGGTACTACTCTACTCCGAATCACACAATTTTTCAGCGCAAGGGCATGAAGGGCCGAAGCAGCAAAAGCGAGACCATAAGAGGCGCCAACTCCCCAGCAACGCAGAACCGGGGCGGGACGATTCGGCGTCCGGCACCTACACCATGTCGACTGGCCTTACGGTAGCGGTTCAGGGTTCTCTTGTTGATTTCTCGCCTTTGTCCAGCTTTAAGTCCCGATTTTAGCTTCAACACTACAAATGCGCAGTCAGCGGGCTCAACATCTACTGCATCGACCGGCGCAAGCCGCTCACCGAGATCACGCTCATGCTGGGTCAGTCGATGTATTCTCTTGACATTAATCAAAATTTGGATGAACTAGCTACTTAATAATATTATAGAATAGTTATAGCCCAAATTGAGAATATCGAAAATTGATTTGCCTAGGGGTTGGGGTGTGCCGGTAAAATTAGCTTAGGTCGGTAGCGACATCCTGAGCAATTATGAATTTCGACATTATGACATTTCGACATTTGATTTTGGCTGTTTTGAACAAATCCAGACTTGGAAATGCAAACCATCAAAAAACAACCGCGGAAAGGATTTTCATCGATAGTATTATACCGTTTTAGGCCAGAGTGCCACCGGGGCATCGCGCATGCGGCTGAGCACCTGCTCAGCGCGGGGCTCGCCCAGCCAACTACATCCACTGCCTGCCAGACTTCAACACCGCGAGGGGCGCTAGAGCAAATTCTCGGAGGGCAAGTACCTCTACTTTTCAAAAAAAAATTGATTTAGAGCCTGTCTGCAGGAAGTCGACGCGGAAACGTTTGGCACGGTGGTGGTGTTCGGCACGAAAATGGTAGCCGCGCCCCTCCAAGATACTAAGCAAAATTGTTTAGGTCACAGGCAACGAGGCTGAGGATGGCATCATCAGCACATATTGTGGCTGGATGCTCGGCCAACACGGCGATTCGGCCGCCCATTCTGAAGCTGTGCGAGCAGACCTGTTGACAGACGTGTATGGCACGGAGAGGTCCGAGGATGCTCCTCTCCTCGAGCGTGGCGCCATGTTTCTGGAGTCGAGGAAGAACGGACCGCCGGGGAACGTCGGTCAAGCTTTTCGGTTCGTCGGCCATTGCTTATGTATCTCCTTCACTTAGAATGCCCGTGAAATATATCCATCCAGCCGCCCCTGAGCTATCATTCGATTCGGGAGGTCTCACACCACGCCTTCGCGCGACAAAGAAGTACCAGCCCATCACAGTGACTGATGTAGGCGCGACTGAAAATTTTGAGCACTGGACTGTTAGCAAGGGGGATTTAACAGGAGGGAAACTTTTGCTGTTTTGCTTTCATTTTGATTTTAGTTCAAAAATTGGTCATTTTCACAAACAATTTTTAAAAAAAACAGAAAATTAAAGTTTCACCAAAAATTGAAATTTTTTATTAAAATTTTCAAAGTTTATATGCCCAAGTATAGCTCAAGTCAATGTACAGGGTGTCCCAAAAAACACCCCCCTCAGCATTTAGCCGTTTTGCATCCGATCGGGACCAAATTTTTACTGGCGATGGGGATCTATAAAAACTATGTGCAGCCGAATTTTCTATGCAAAATACTGTAAAACAAAAAATTTTAGCGAAATTCGGGTTTATTTTGCCGATTTCACTAGGGTTTTGGTGGATTTGGGCCTCGAAAGGTTCAGCAAAATTGAAGAATGCACTTTTCTTTTCATTTGCATATTTTTGTTTTACGAAAATTACGCCTCAATTGGGATTTTTAAGCACTTTTTATTATTTGAAACTGACTAACACCGACCCGAAAATGACCATTTTTGAGAAAATCACTCAAAATCGGCATGCTAATTGCGAAAACATAGCCAAAAAATGAGTACCAGAATTTCCCAAATATCAGTTTTTTAGCGATAGCTATTTTGTTTTACAATATTTTGCTTAGAAAATTCGGCTGCACATGGTTTTTATGGGGCCCCATCACTGGTAAAAATTTGGCCCTGATCGGATGGAGGACTTCCCATGGCCGCGGGGGGTCTTTTGGGACACCCTGTACAAATACATTCAGAATTTACACACAGAACACAACAAAGTAAAATAAAAAGTTTTTTTTTCTTAAAATACCGAGATATTCGGTATTTTAAGTGCAAAAATCCCAGTTTTCCTAGCAGCTCTTTAGCAGCCCAAAAGTGGCAAATCCTTAATTTAACTTAGTTTAAATTTAATTTCATCAAACTAATTTGTTCAGGAGGACCTATTTGGTGCGAACGCAACATCGCACAAGATCGCGTTCGACGACGATCATGCTACGCTGGGCGACGCAATGCGCCATATCTACATCAGCGGCAGGGATTCGTGCGCGCTCATCTAAAGGTATGTCGTATCATATTTCGAATTTAATCTTTCGCTTCAGGTGACTGGCTTGAACATTCAAACTCATGTGCGACGAGCTCAAGGAATTTTCTAGATGCCAAGTAGGTGGGTGCTTTAGCTCTAAACAGGATTTACCGAACTTCCTTTAATCGAATCTTAGAGTTTCTGTCGTTTTACTGAATTTTCCCCCAAGTAGAATTATATTTGAGAGGGCGTTAGGTTTGGTTGGTCGCCCAAAAGACCGGAAAATACGCCAAACTCCATCGATTTTGACCAATTTCGACTCTTTTAGTACCTGAAAATGGTGAAAGCGCCCTTTTTTCGACGTAGATTGTGTTGAAACCCCAGCCCAGAGTTCTTATTTAAGCTCTTACTTTTAGATAGGCGATCAAGCGATCGGCACCAAGAAATACGACTCTACTCATCGCGATCGTCCAGCACAATGTGACACCTTAACAACGAGAGCTGCAGGACCGGCGACTAGTTATTGTGATAAAATAAATTTTTTGATACTCGCGACAATCACGATATGCATACGTGCTGTAGCTTATTGTAATTGCCGGTCAAAGAAAGGTAGACGTCTTTGGAATCAGGGCAAAATTTTGCATAAGATCAGCTTGGTATTGCGCAAGACTGGCATCCCACAAAACTCACAAAAAAAGCATCCGCTTGTAAGTTATTTGCGCCATGTCTCGAAGACACAACCTGTTCCTGTCCCTCCCGCTCTCTCTCCATCCGTCTCTCTCGCTCTCTATCTCTTGATCTCTCTATCTCGCTCACTCTCGCTCCCTCAACTTCTCTAGCTCTCTCTCATTCTCCCTCTCGTTCTCTCTCTCTCTCTCCCTCTCACTCAACGTCTCTCGCTCTCTCACATTAATCTCTCTTTCTCTCTCTGTCTCGATCGCTCTCTCATTCATCTCTCTCTTGTTCTCCCCCTTCTCTCTATCCCTCTATACCTCTATCTCGCTTTATCTCTCTCGCTCCTTCTCTCTCCCTCTCTCTCTCTCTCTCTCTCTCTCTCTCTCTCTCTCCCTCTCTCTCTCCCATCGCCCTCTCTTTCTCTCTCTTCTCTCTCTCTCTTTCCGTCTCTTGGGGGATTTACCTTTTTGCAGATGATTCAAGATCCGCCTGCTATATCGACTGGACGAAACATTACTAAAATTCACTAAGTGTAAATAGGATGTCGACGTAGTTCTAGAATTACAGTATCCCCGAGGATTTTGGAAGGATCTGATCCTCAAGCACATCCTTCCCTACCTACATCAATACCCACGCTAACGGCTTTAGATACCTCCCCTAGCCGAAATCCTCCTCAAAAGACTACCTAAATACCTTCCTGATGGCTTCAGATACATTAAATTATTTAAATAATGATTTAAAATAATAAAAAGTATTAAAAAGTGTTAAAGTAACTTAAAATAGCGACCTAGGCACGGGAAAGGGCCTGGTGAAGAAGGCCTGGGGAAGGGCCCTCGTTTCGTTTTATTAAGGCGCCACTTTCAAAGTTAATTTTAATAATTTAAACGAAAACTTTTTGATAATTCATTTATCAGTTTTGGGGTTCCTGACGGCGCTCTATCCGAATCCGAAGAGATCCTCAAGGATATAGGTTCAATGGCTTGTATCTGAATTCGGCATCGGAGATTTGCATTTTTGCAGCTGTGTGAACACGATGATCGATAATTGTGGAGTCGACTCCAGTCGGTCGCTGGGCGGCTTCTTCTTTGCCTTCTCAACGGAAGCTCTGTTTGGTATATTTTAGTGACTTCACTCCTTATTAAAAAACTAATTCTTGGTAGCTTAGAATTGGCTACATTCGTCTGAAAAAGAGTACGCCGACGCCGATGATGTAGACACTAATTAAGCCGGCATTGATTTCGCCGACACTCAGTGCACCAAAAATGAGGCACTTGTGTATTTGCGGGGGGAGGCCACGAAACTTTTTCGGATCCGCTGAGATTTGGTACATAAATGACGCATGTGCTGTTAAATCGTTTGTTGCCATTCAAAAGAGCAAAAAAACCACGTTTTTATTAAGACAATTAAATCCTTTTTTCCGAAAACTTCCTACCTTATATAATTTGGTCGCGTATCTTTGTGTGTGTGTGTGTGTGTGTGGATGTCACTTTCGAGGCCCGATTTGAGGGCCTTCCCGTGCATAAAATGCCCGAATTCTCTGTCACCCGGGGGAAACGACCCTTCTGTTTCCGATGGCGTTTTCAGAAATTGGATAAAATACAAGTTTACAAAGTTAAAGCCGGTTTTATTCATTTTTGGGGTCCCTGAGGGCTAATTTGCATAATGCGAGAAAATACAAATTTCCTCATTCTTGCCAGTTGCACTCGCGAGTTTGGTCGTCTCTTTGGATCTGCCTCTCGATGCTTTTTCTTCCCCTGCCCCGGGGAATGCCCAACAAGGGATTTTGGCGCGTGCTGGCAAGCATTGCATGGTGTAGTGGTTAGCGCTTCGCCCTGCTAATCTAACCAACGGAGGTTCGATCCTCTGATATCGTAGTTGTTTTGCTTTTTGCTCGGAAAGTGTCAGTCTCAAGTTAGCGCCGCAGGCTTTAGAACGAAGCTAGCCGCATAAGCTATCGCCGCACACTTTAGAACGAAGCTAGCCGCACAAGCTAGCGCCGCAGGCTTAAGAACGAAGCTAGCCGCACAAGCTCGCGCCGCAGGCTTTAGAACGAAGCTAGCCGCACAAGCTCGCGCCGCAGGCTTTAGAACGAAGCTAGCCGCACAAGCTAGCGCCGCAGGCTTAAGAACGAAGCTAGCCGCACAAGCTCGCGCCGCAGGCTTTAGAACGAAGCTAGCCGCACAAGCTAGCGCCGCAGGCTTTAGAACAAAGCTAGCCGCTCAAGCTGGCGCCGCAGGCTTTGAAACGAAGCGAGCCGCACAAGCTAGCGCCGCAGGCTTAAGAACGAAGCTAGCCGCTCAAGCTAGCGCCGCAGGCTTTAGAACGAAGCTAGCCGCTCAAGCTAGCGCCGGGGCTTTAGAACAAAGCTAGCCGCACAAGCTCGCGCCGCAGGCTTTAGAACGAAGCTAGCCGCACAAGCTAGCGCCGCAGGCTTAAGAACGAAGCTAGCCGCACAAGCTCGCGCCGCAGGCTTTAGAACGAAGCTAGCCGCACAAGCTAGCGCCGCAGGCTTTAGAACAAAGCTAGCCGCTCAAGCTGGCGCCGCAGGCTTTGAAACGAAGCGAGCCGCACAAGCTAGCGCCGCAGGCTTAAGAACGAAGCTAGCCGCTCAAGCTAGCGCCGCAGGCTTTAGAACGAAGCTAGCCGCTCAGCTAGCGCCGGGGCTTTAGAACAAAGCTAGCCGCACAAGCTCGCGCCGCAGGCTTTAGAACGAAGCTAGCCGCACAAGCTAGCGCCGCAGGCTTAAGAACGAAGCTAGCCGCACAAGCTCGCGCCGCAGGCTTTAGAACGAAGCTAGCCGCACAAGCTAGCGCCGCAGGCTTTAGAACAAAGCTAGCCGCTCAAGCTGGCGCCGCAGGCTTTGAAACGAAGCGAGCCGCACAAGCTAGCGCCGCAGGCTTAAGAACGAAGCTAGCCGCTCAAGCTAGCGCCGCAGGCTTTAGAACGAAGCTAGCCGCTCAAGCTAGCGCCGGGGCTTTAGAACAAAGCTAGCCGCACAAGCTCGCGCCGCAGGCTTTAGAACGAAGCTAGCCGCACAAGCTAGCGCCGCAGGATGAGGTAGCGACCTGACCGATCAAGCATGCGCCGCAGGCCTAATAACGAGACTAGCAGTTCAAGCTTGAGCGGCATACCAATACAAAGAGGTTTGCATGAGTGTTGCGTTTTTCTTTCGTCAGGGTAACTTTATGTGGACGGGCGCTCAATTCATAAGGCCTAGACGGGGTCCAGCGGGGGCGAGTCGCGAAGCGGCTCCTCCCCCGCTGGTTTTGAAATGATTCTGAATCAGCTCAACTTACTGGGAATTTTGATATAACAAACTCCGATTTTCGCTTAGTGACCGGATACTTCACCAGCCCACTGTGCAGTGTCAAATCTCGAGACAGAAGCGTTACCGAACAGTTTTTTTTGACTGCTCTGTAATCAGCTCGACCTGCTGAGCATTTTCACATATAAAAATCCGAAATACGTTTAGCGACCGGATACCGCAATTTTCCCAGAACCATGCCCCAGGGGCGTAGCTGACCTCAAGTTTCGGGGGGGCAGCGACATTTCGGAAGGGGCAGCAAGGAAAATTTTCCGAAATTTGGGCGCCGCAGGCGAAAAATTTCGCTAAAATAGCAGCGCCGTAGGCTAAAAAATGAAGAAAAGTAATAAAAACAGCACCGCAGGCGAAAAAGTTCGGAACGAATTTTGGCTAAACTCCAGATACCCCCCCCCCAGCCGACCCTCACCTACCGTATCTCGGCTCCCTGTTCATCTACAGGTGTGTAAAGTATACCAAAATACTAGCCACAGCAAGACGAACATTTTGGTATATTTTACACACCTGTAGATGAACAGAGAGCCGAGATACAAAAATTGGGTGCCGGCTGGGGGGGTTGTCTGGAGTCTTACCCGAATTTTGTAAGATGGTGCTAGTGTTCAAATGATGGTAATAGCAAAATGTCTCGTCTACGATGGAAACATCAAGGACTTCTCGCGATTCGACAGACAGTTTCCTGTGTTATGCGACGTTTTAGGGGCGGCCCTCCTACAGACGATCAATGGCGGCAAACCCCACCTTCTACACCGACATCGACACCATCGCCGATGAACATTACAAGCCCGAGCCAGATTTCTACAATCTTTTTGTGTCCGGAGTGATCAAAACCGGTCAGCTATTTTGCGTTCCTGTGCGTATCGAAAAGATAGAGTCACCTAATTTTTTACTTACCCCAGTGCAGCGTAATTTCATCCTTGCTCTCATCTTATCCTTTCATCCGTGCTTTTTGAGTCATCCGCAAATCATCTCGAAAGACAGTGGATTCGATAAAAAATTTGATGCTGAGTAATGCTATGTGGTTCATTTCTGCAGAATGGCTTTCGCGGATTTTATAAATTAGAAAAAAAACTTAAGCACTTTTTTCCTACATCGGTCGGCGCTGATGGCAGGTTGCAGGCTATAATATAGTGTCGAAAAACCA